AGAACATCTATTTTTTGAAGACATTTAATAATATTGTGCATTTGTTTAATCGTTAGGGGTTTTTCTGTTTGTGTGTTTCAGAGGAGGCAGAGAGGTAATGGATACACACCGCTCCCTATGGGTAAGTTTGTATCGGTACAACATTAGAAAGTTGAAACCATCTAACAGCAGTGATAAAATCAACAAATATGCCTAGAAATGTATGTCTACTTGAAATATGTTTAAAACAAATACAGTCCAAGTCTCAGAGTCTCTGTGCTGTCTTAGTGATAAATGCATCAAGTTTTGGCTATTACTACTAAACTCTCTGGAATCAGACCACATAGATTTGCACAAACTATGAACAACAAAAAAGAACAACAAAAATAAATGGCTTGGATTTACCATACAGCTGTACAGTTTGTAGTCCTGAAGAAGAGAATTTGCATTAACCACGTGTTTCTACTGGCATTTCTATGGGTTTTCAGAATGCTGGTTTTCAGTTCATGAGTAAAATAAGGTCTGTGGTTAGCATTAGCTACATGAAGAGAATTTTCAACAATCATACCTCAAATGTGAATTTTTAACCACTGTGTGCTTAAAAAATATATGTTGCTAATGTGTTGCTGCATAAGCACTACAGCTACCACAAGGATATTTATGTTCACTTGTTAGCAATAAAAAATAACATTTTAAATATTTTCCTAAAAAACTAATTAGCACTTTTAAAAGTTAATAGCACACTAATAATGTCATGTATGTAACATCTGCTGTGATGTTGCCCAGTACCCGAGCCTCCACGTCCATCATTGCCTATGGACCATGATGCATTCATCAGTCCTTACGATGATCCAAATGAATGCAAGAAGAAGTCCCTGTTCATCAAGAGAGACAAGCTCATGATCGATGAGGTGGAGCTTGGTTCAGGCAACTTCGGCTGTGTCAAGAAAGGTGTATTCAAAATGGAAAGGTGACTACAAAGAGTGGAAGAATTTGTGTTGTAACATGTTAAGTTTACTTCATAAGCACATGTTTCCTTCTCATGTGTAGCAAACAGATTGATGTGGCGATTAAAGTGTTGAAGAATGAGAATGAAAAATCAGTAAAGGATGAAATGATGCGAGAGGCACATTTTATGCATCAGCTGAGTGATCCGTTCATCGTGCGCATGATTGGACTCTGTGAGGCTGAAGCGCTCATGTTGGTGATGGAAATGGCCCCCGCTGGCCCACTCAACAAGTTTCTCTCTGGCAAGAAGTGAGTAAATCAGAATAACAATAATTATAACTTCTTTTGTTTGTGTTATTAATATGTAGTAAAAGAATATAGGACTTTCTTTTCTACATATAGTCTATATTAGAACTGTATAAAATATATTTTAGTGACACATTAGTTGTGATTTCTGTGTTAAAGTGTGAAATCTCTATAATCTGTATAAACAGAGTCATCATTTAAAACATTGTTCTGACTAAATCAGAAAATTCATACGTTGATCATCAATTTACACTAACTGTTTTTGCACCTCTCAGGGACCAGGTCACTATTGAAAACATTGTGATGATGATGCATCAAGTCTCAATGGGGATGAAGTATTTAGAAGGAAGGAACTTTGTGCACAGAGACCTGGCAGCCCGTAATGTACTATTAGTCAACCAACAATATGCCAAGATCAGTGACTTTGGCCTCTCCAAGGCACTGGGTGCAGATGACAACTATTACAAGGTGGGCTGCTCTCAGGTGTACACTTGGAACACAATTACATTTTAATTATAATTAATAGCATTTAGTACATTGTGTATCTTTGTACTTTAATGGGACACATTGTAGTCTTGGAGAAATTAAATTCTCTCAATACATTTCTAAATCTTCCACAGTATGTCAAATATACTTACAATTGGATTAGTTCCTTGTTCCTGTTTCATGACTAATCACGTGACCATCAGTGGCCCAATACACCAGTATAATCAAATAGCCAGATGCTACTGAATGATGGTGCGATAAAAAGGTAAAAAGCGAATATTTGTTCAGAGTGTGGTTTTGTATGTGGGTAGGCCCGTACAGGAGGTAAATGGCCTCTGAAGTGGTACGCACCAGAGTGCATTCAGTTTCATAAGTTCTCCAGTAAAAGTGACGTTTGGAGCTTTGGCATTACGATGTGGGAGGCCTTCTCCTATGGAGGAAAGCCTTATAAGGTAAATATTTACACTGTCACGGTACTTAAAACCAACTTCAGTGAGATGCACATGTGACTTTTCATCCATTTACTTTTCCTCATGCAGAAAATGAAAGGCCCAGAGGTCATGAGTTTTATTGATAGTGGTAATCGTATGGATTGCCCTGCTGGATGTCCTGAGGCAATGTATGAACTGATGAAGGAGTGCTGGACATACAAGTAAATATAATCTTATGCATTGACATTATAAACTACTTGTAATACTTGTCTGTTTGCTTGTGTGTGGTTGAGGGGAATTTCAAGGGGAATATAAAGAACCTCTGACTGACATCTGACTCTCATCTTCTTCAGGCATGAAGAACGGCCAGGCTTTGTCAAAGTGGAGGAGAAGATGAGAACTTTCTATTACTCCATTTGCAAAAAGATTCCAGACTACATGAAAACAGAGAACGGAAAGCCCCCTAAGTGATCAGAAGGGCAAATCTATTATGCATTTTGAATTTAGCATTGCGGTGTGTTTTGGGTTAAAGGAAATGTGTGCAAACTTAATGGTTAATGTGCTGGCAGAAGATTAACAAATTGTCAGTTTTTGTACAGATTTGTTTTTTCCCAGTGGGTCCCTTTGACCTGTGTGTTTTGAGCCAGGACAGAATGAAAACATTGTGAAGAACATTAAGTAACTTTGATATTATGTCTATCAAACTATTGACTGAGTAATGCAAGTCACCTTTTTTAAATTATTGGCCTGCTATTATCAGTGCTCATAATATTATTCAGTGCCTATTTACTATTTAAATGTGCCAGGAAATACTTTTCCTCCTGCAAGTGTTTCAGTTATTGACATCAGATGGATGTACTGTAGCTATTTTCTCTGTCATCCATTTACACTTTCGAGATAAAAAGAAATACTTACTCAAACTTCATGGTCTTGTTTTCTGTTTGTAAGTTTCCTGCAATTTTCAGTATTCCTTTTGACAATATATATTCTCAAACATTTGTATGTATTAATTTTGTGAAACTTCCGGAGTTTTTTAAACTTGCAATAAACTGCACATACAATAAAACAATTCATGTTGACATGCACTGGAGCTGACTATCGCATAACCTTTCCACTTGAACATAAAAAGATAATAGACATTTGTAAAAAATTATACAAATATATAGAGGAGACCACAGCTAAAGCCACACTCAAGAGGAAACTATGTATGTAAGGTAAATGTTTTTAGTATAGGTATATTTTTATAAATGTCAGACTCTAGGGCAAGTTGTCACAATTGTTTTAAATGTCAAATTTATTATTAATTACTATATTTATCAGCCGAAACTATTTGATTTTATAAATCCTTACAATTCCGAACAACTTACACCATAAACTGCATCTTTCTCTGGCCAATGACTGTGTTTATTTTGTTTTTTATTTGATGTATTTAATAATTATTATTATTAGTAGTAGTAGTAGTATTTATGGTATAATTTTAAGGTATTCAGAAACTGACTTTCAAAAATAAACCTTCCCTAAGAAATATTCACTTGAGTAAGTCTGCCAGCTAATACTTTAGTTTAATGTGAAATTAAAAGACTGCTTTTTAACTTTTTTTGCAATAAATATCTCCGATGCATTAAATGTTTTGATGTTAGTGAGTAACCACAGTGTATCCTATACACTTCCTTCATGTTCAGTGGCAGACTGGAGAGGCTCCACTGATGTTTCAACAGAGGAAGTGTACTTCGCTCAGAAGGGAGGGGCTTGTGGTTTCCTTCGAAAGTGTGGACTTAATAATTGTTACAGTACGAAGGCCACGTTCCTTTTAATTCTATAACAATTGCAAATACAATGTAATTACAATAACCAAGAACGCTCTTGAATAACGTACAAAATAGAGGTCGGTGTAAAAAGGCAGTTCGCATCAAAGCGGAACAAGAAAGGCACTCGCTCGGTAAGTTTGCTTCAACTTCACTGTACGCTACGAAAACATTTGCTTTACAATATCGTTATTTTGTACGTTCTGGGTATTCAGTTCGCGATTTTACAAAGGTTATTTTGTTGTCGCACCTATATGTTTCCTTGAAAGTGAAATTTGTGTGATTATCAGTCCTGGTCTCGCCATTAAAAACGACATCGTCATTCGGAATTGCCGTGTAGACAGACGAGCGTCTCGCGCAACATGTTGTTTTGCTTTTTTTGATGTATGCTACTGGCATCCATTCATTTACAAACATGTACATATTTACATGTTTACAATATTTTTTAAAAATTCAATTTAAAAGCTGTTTAATGTATGTACATGTATATGTATATTTAACTTAAAAATGAGTATTTAAATTATCTAAAAAATATATAATTTTAAATGCATAGGCCTACTTTTGAAATAGATGTGTTCTATGTTGTTAATAAACATACTGTAAATATTATAGAAATTGGTGGAATCCCCCTGCCCTGGCCACAGTAAATGCCACCCATGGTGCCCAACAGGAAATTACTCATTAATTCCCCTAATATTCTAAATATAATATCTCTGTATACAACCTGTTCAGTGACCAGCTTTTTTTAAACATATATGATATATTGTTTGTTCGGTTGGTTAAAAGGAGAAAATCTGTTTACTGCTTCTCAGTACATGTGCCATTTTACCGCTTATGTTGAAGCACAGCAGATTGGAATTAATCCTTGAGTTTGCGAAAATGCATGTGTAGGAATGAAATTTTGGTCGAAAGATATGAAGTTATTTCAGTGTCACAACCAGAAGAAATCAGAAAATCTCAAGCACTCTTTTAATGTTTTGTCTACCAGGGTTCCCATCTCTAAACCTAGAAATATTATAAAGTCATGGAAATTAATAAAGTCCTCTTTAGTTAATGTTTTTATATGGCTAAGCACCAAATAATATTGTTGTATTGTAAATCATATGTTCTCGTCTTATAATATTAAAACGTCTTCCAAATGGTCTGGGAACCCTGGAGGAGACAAGGTTTGACCTAGTTTTATTTTCTCTCCCTTTTTCTCATTCAGTATCCGTCCTTCCTCAATCGGTGATACTGAAAAGCCGCCACACAATATTGTCCTTGTTTATATCTGGTCTTTAATGTCTCATTTCAGGCTATCAAAAGGCTAATTTTAGACAACATTACACAACCATCCCGTCCCCCAGAAGTTATTTCAGTGTCACAACCAGAAGAAATCAGAAAATCTCAAGCACTCTTTTAATGGTTTGTCTACCAGGGTTCCCATCTCTAAACCTAGAAATATTATAAAGTCATGGAAATTAATAAAGTCCTCTTTAGTTAATGTTTTTATATGGCTAAGCACCAAATAATATTGTTGTATTGTAAATCATATGTTCTCGTCTTATAATATTAAAACGTCTTCCAAATGGTCTGGGAACCCTGGAGGAGACAAGGTTTGACCTAGTTTTATTTTCTCTCCCTTTTTCTCATTCAGTATCCGTCCTTTTTGTCTACCAGGGTTCCCATCTCTAAACCTAGAAATATTAAAGTCATGGAAATTAATAAAGTCCTCTTTAGTTAATGTTTTTATATGGCTAAGCACCAAATAATATTGTTGTATTGTAAATCATATGTTCTCGTCTTATAATATTAAAACGTCTTCCAAATGGTCTGGGAACCCTGGAGGAGACAAGGTTTGACCTAGTTTTATTTTCTCTCCCTTTTTCTCATTCAGTATCCGTCCTTCCTCAATCGGTGATACTGAAAAGCCGCCACACAATATTGTCCTTGTTTATATCTGGTCTTTAATGTCTCATTTCAGGCTATCAAAAGGCTAATTTTAGACAACATTACACAACCATCCCGTCCCCCAGCAACCATGTCCATGGCCCTAAAACAAGTCTTCAACAAGGACAGAACATTCCGGCCCAAGCGCAAGTTTGAGCCTGGAACGCAGCGCTTTGAGTTGCACAAGAAAGCACAGGCGTCCCTAAATGCTGGCCTGGACCTGAAACAGGCGGTGCAGCTGCCGCACGGCGAAGACCTCAATGACTGGGTGGCCGTTCACGTGGTGGACTTCTTTAACCGCATCAACCTCATCTACGGCACCATCAGCGACTCCTGCACAGACCAGACCTGCCCCGTTATGTCCGGCGGGCCGAAGTACGAGTACCGCTGGCAGGATGAGCAAAAGTACAAGAAGCCCACCGCTCTCTCTGCACCCAAATACATGAGCCTGCTAATGGAATGGATTGAGGTCCAGATCAACAATGAGCAGATCTTCCCCACTAATGTTGGTAAGGACCAAATGATCCAAACAAAACATTTGGATTTACACCAACATTTCCTTGATTTGTTGGAAATGTTTAGTTGTTAATCAAGTTTAAAGCCCAAATTCTTTCAATACAAGAATATAGTTTTTTTTATTCAAATCTTCCATAACTTACTGTTTACTTCACTGTAGATAAGCGATAAGGTTTGAGTTAGTTTGCTTACACTCTTCAAAATAAAGGCTCTTTATTGGCATCAGTGGTTCATTGAAGAACCTTTAACATCCATGGAACCTACCCATTGTGCCAAAATCGTTCTTCAGGTTATTGAAATATTCTTCACCCTAGTGAAGAATAGTTATTTTCATAAATGTTTTGAGAAAATGGTTCTTCAATTGCATCACTACAAACCACTCCTTTTGGAACCTTATTTTTTAAAGAGTGTATTAAAGAGTGAATTAATTAATTAATAGCTGAAATGTATTTGATCACCAAAGTCACATTTAAAATAGATTAATTATATTGAAATATCAAAGGATTATTCAAGATTTTATCTCATAACTAAATAGTTATAATTGATTCAAATTATTTTTTTGTGAACATACAGAAATATGAAATCAGTCTTTTATTAGTAAGTCAATTGTTTAATCATTTAAAACCTAACTTGAAAACTGTGCTTCTGCTTATAATTCTTAAAATGAATGCCAAATCATTGGATTTTCTTTGTTCAATGCAGTAACATTCAAAAGTCATCAAAATGTGGCTTAAATGTCCAAATATAGTAGCTTTTGACGCTGCTGTATTTATTCTCTTTCTAGTCCTCCAAACCTAAACCTGAGTAGGTCATCAGAATGAGCTATGCGGACATTTAAAGACACTTCTAGTATAGCACGGATGTCTCAAAATGGCCATCATATAGGTCACCGTATAAAAAGTAACTTGTTGACCATTTGCAGCAGCATTTAAGATGATAAATAAACTCCAATTCAAGGTATAGATAGTCAAATATGCAGAAAACTTGGGATGGTCAAGTGTAGTGTTTGACTTCCCAGGCTTTGCCTCATTATCCTCAACCTGCCATCTGACATCTGTGGTGCCTTTCAAATTGGGTCATACAATTTACAGTGGGATATAAATAGACCAAGTCTGCTAATGCAACGAGACAGTCAAAGAATCTGCTGTGTATAAGGACATGGTTGTCTGCATACAGGTCAGATCGCAGGACTCTATTAATATACGGCGCTGGGGAAATACGATTCTGCAATTTATAATCCATCGTAGCACGTGTCCCAGATGGACGTGCGGATGAGAAAGGAAAGCAATAAAGAGTTTCCTCCCATCCAGAGATATGAGGCACTTGTTTCCTCTGATGATATCAGCAGGCTCAACATGTTGTCTCAGTTCTGTCTTTAATCTACAAATACCTTGTTTGATGTAGTTTCATATGTTAGGACCTGATAAGGATGTGATAATGTAATAATGTAAAAATACAATTTAGCTTTGTAAAAGTTTTTGATTGTGACAAACACCAAACCAAAACGTTGATGGTGGTGTGTTTATCATGCAATGTTATTCACTCACAAATGAAATGATGCAGATCAATGTCATTTACTCACCCTCGTGTCATTTCAAGTCACAATGAGAAATTACTAACTCTCATAAACCCACTTGCACTTCAACCTAGACTACCGTTTATGGTCGTAAGAGTTTGTAAAATATTATGACAATTTAAAATAATTGTTCTATATAAATATATTTTTAAATGTCTTCCTGTGCTGGCAAATCTGGATTTTCAGCAGTCATTACTCCAGTTTTCAGTGTCACATGATCCTTCAGAAATCATTCTAATATGCGGGTGCTCAATAATTTTTATTTTTTTTGTGGAAATCGTGAAAGATATTTCAGGATTCTTTGATGAATAGAAATTTCAAATGAACCGCATATATTTAAAAAAAGAAATCTTTTGTAACATTATAAATGTCTATACTGTCACTTTTAAACAAATCTACTGTGCCCTTGCTGAATATAAGTAATAATTTCTTCAAAAAAATCTTACTGACCCCAAACATTTAAATGTTAGTGTATATAATTTTGTATGCTACCATACTTTGGGGAAAAAAAAGATTTTGTGTTTTAGACAGTCATTCTTTTGACTGTTTTCACTTTGAAACGTATGTTATATTTTCATGTGTTGTTTCTTTTTAGGTACGCCATTCCCTAAGACCTTCATGCAGGTAGCAAAGAAGATCTTGTCTCGTTTGTTCCGAGTCTTTGTCCACGTCTACATCCACCACTTTGACCGCGTGAGCCAGATGGGAGCAGAGGCCCACGTGAACACCTGTTACAAACATTTCTATTACTTCGTTACTGAATTCAGCCTCATAGACCACAAAGAGCTGGAACCTCTGGTAAGCATATGTGTAAAAGATAGCAATAGACAAAAATTATTATATTATATTATATTTGTGCATGCATCTCTTTATGTGTGCATGGTTTTAAAAACTTGATTTTCCATAACTTAATGAGAGCAGAAACTGAGAAACAAAGAGCGACTGATACAGAAACAAGCACTAATGCATCATGTCATGATTAGTAGCTAACAAGCCCATTTTATAATGGCTTTGCTAATTGGTAGGGCCACACACTAGGACAGGATGAGTCAGTGGTTTTGATATTCCAGCCTCTATCATTTTCTCACAGGCAGTTAATGAGCGTTCGAGCTCCTAATGCAGAAAAACCCTTCGTCTATAGACGCAGCAGTTCATTATCTCAGTAGTCACAGTTGAATTGGTGCCGTGGGATCAGGTGTCACCCGCAGGTCCTGTTACTGACATCAGGAGCTCGTGGCTGTTTGCATAGTGTGTTTCCATCTGAAAAGTATATTTAAACACAGGGAATTATATGATCTTCATGTATTTCACATTTTAAAACAACGTGTTTAATTGCGTAAATGAATAAGAAACTATTATAATTTAAGAGGCAGGTTGTTTTTTGTATTTGAAACAAAGCTTGTGGTAGCTGACTGAACATACGTGATGATGGCTGAAGTTTGTGGTTTTGTGATGGTTTGTCATACTGACGCACTGTTTATTTCTCTTAACAGAAAGAGATGACAGCACGGATGTGCCACTGAAAAAGAGAGCAGACCTTTACATTCCAGACAGATCAGAACCATGCAAATTTACAGTTTAAAAGCAGATGAAACAGAAACCAAACTTTCAAAGACTTTATTTTTATACGTTTTTAAAGTACTGTAATCTTCTGTTTAGGGACAGACATGTACATCTCTCTATATTCTCATGTGTAGGCATATGGAGAGTATTTTTAATAGAAAGCAGTATTATCAATTATTTTTGTTTTTCCAAATTTGTTCTGAATCATTCCTTTTGTTCTGTCGAACTGTTATAATCTTTAACATACAGATTATATTTGACTATTTATGTATGTCGTTGAGATATTAAAACCACTTCCTCTTGTCTGTATGTCATTGATTCTGTTCTTGGTTACTGGTCATGTTCTCATCATCATTCATTTGAACTAAAAACTTGATGACGCGGTAGGACTTAATGTCTGACTACTATAAACATTTGAGACATCATTCAGCATATCATCCCTGCCATTTTCTTTCACAACCTGGTATGTCATGTGGATTTTTTTGCTTATCTGTGTCTTAAATGAAAAACAATCCTGTTTCTCCAGCTTACTGTCTTTTCAGGTTTTGTCTCTCAGCCTTAATAATCTTTACAATTAAATTAGATTGCAGTTAAAGGGCTGACAGAAATAATTGTGTAATAATAATTTAAGCCTGCTGATTCTAGTCTCTGTCCACTAGATGGCGATAAAAGCATATCACCACACAGACTTGGATGAAATGTTGCATTACCTTGAGCTCCGATCACTAATTTTATTAAACTAGGTCCACAATTTGGTTATGCAATGGGTTTTCATTTTTGGACAAGGCTCTTTTATACTTGTTCTATCTTTAGCGTTTTATTTACGACTAATCAGCCAATGTGTAATGAGTTCATAGTGATCTCTGCTCTGTTGTCTACCAGCCTACATGCTGAATAAGTGCTGAGTTGCACGTTTAGAGGAAATAATTCTTCAGCCCCAGGTTATCTGGATGATGAAATCGTTAACTGTTAATCTTGCTCCACCCTTGACTTCAACATCACCTCTCTATGTCGCAATCTTCAGTCTGCTGCCCTCAATTCCAGATTTTTCCAGTAGTCTCTGAATTATAATGAGAGGGCGTGTTTTAGTGTCATGCAACACTGACGTCGAACGCTGCAACAAGGTCATGTTATATGCTCGTTAAAGCCCATTTCCAAAGCCAAGTTAAGATCTTACAGATTCAAGCCAGTTCAAAAAGCTTCGTTGGCAAAAAGGGTTTACAAAGTTTATATGCACTTGATGCACAAATGTAATCTACTCAAAACGAAGCTGCCTCAAAACTGAAAGCTATTGTTCAGAGAACGTAGGCTATTTATATTCCAAGCTACAACTTGCAGCGTTTAAGCTACTTAATTTTGATGTAATATTAAAAATAATCATAATCTACGGCCGTATACAGTATGTACCATAGGTTACATTAATTAATGTCCATAAAGGAATCAATTCGCGAGTGTGATCGACTGATTCAAAGAACCGACACAAAAGAGTGATTCATTTGACAGAGCATTGTTATGTAAAATATAGAAAAACAGCTTCGCTACATGAAAACGCTGCATAAAAAGTGTAAACACAATATATGCTACCAACACGTAATACAAACTAATAACTTAGCTACTTTAGCAAATGTGCACATGCTGTATATGCGCATGCATACACACAATAAATGTATTAATCTCTAAATATAGTTTTTGGAAAGGGTTATAAATGTGAGTTGCATCAGATTAATCACAACGCTGCTGCTGCCCCGTTACATTCCTGCGGCCGCACCAAAACAGACGTTTTCTTTCGCTTTCAGCAACAAAACAAAACGCCTGGCCGTGTGTTACGTGTAATTATCTGGATCTGCAAGAACCGCAACAAGGATACTGTTGTGTTCTGTCGGAATGCACCAGAACTGGAGTGAAGAGGAAACGGCACGTCAGTGGGCGGGGCTTTGACCTCATGCTCCTCGAGTGGAGGATACGTGCAGAACGAGATGAAAACACACTGTGATCAAGCATTGGCACCTTCAAGCTGATTCAATGCGGGTAAATGTTGCATAAGGTTGTCTATCTTGGAATTCGAATATGCTATTTTATACTGGACTACTGTAACACTGGGACTCTGGAACTAAAATAAATCTTTGCACAAACCCATACAGTTTAATAGCTAATATTGCTAGGGGAAAAAACGAACAAACGAGTTTTATGATAGAAACATCCTTAGATAAGTGTATATAATATGTACACATATCTAAGGACATTTAATAGATCTAGATACATGTCGTACATGATCTATAGGCTATCTGTAGGCTATTTAAATATAATGAATTGGGATATGCTTTATCTAAAAATGAGTTCAGTGGGATCCTGTACTTAATTTAAAGTTGTTGTTATTGTTTTTTTACCCGCGCATTTACGTCACTGTTTTGTTCTTTTGTAAACTCAAACTATTCTGACTCTCAGGCATGCAAATATTTTTCCATCTGTTCCATTACTATTTTCATTTTCGGGGTTTATTGTTTGGTGCCTGGAGGATTTTACCCGCGCATTTACGTCACTGTTTTGTTCTTTTGTAAACTCAAACTATTCTGACTCTCAGGCATGCAAATATTTTTCCATCTGTTCCACTACTATTTTCATTTTCGGGGTTTATTGTTTGGTGCCTGGAGGATTTCCAATTTCTAGGAGATTTCTAGGAGAAACTGAAAAAAAAGCACACTTGCACAGTAGGGGCCCAGGACACATTGCTTAATCAGAAAAATATTTTAGGGCTGGACAAAATTCTTCCTTTAAGAGGAAAGAGGAAGTGCATGCTTTCCTCCACAGTTACACAACTTTATTAGATTCATGTATTAGTTTTGTTAATTAGCCAAACCTTGGCTAATTATGTATGCCTTATTTCGGTGCACCCAAACTGTAATACCATGTAATCCACACTCTCAGGTTAAGCAGGTAGTGTGGATTTAATCACATTCAGGTGTATTCTGCTGTCAGTGTCTAATTTTTCGGATGACTGTCATCTCATAAGCTGTTCATGCTTTCCTTTTTCCCATTTTGATTCCAGGAAACATTTAGGTGCTTCGGCAGAAGTGTGAATAAATCTTAATCATGTGTCTATGTAGCTGACTCCTCGGAAAACCTACACACCCTTGATATAACAGAAGAGGACTACAGAGTGCCCAAAGAGATCGGTCCAAGCACACACACACACACACACTCGTCTGTCTTTCTCTCCCTCTCCAACGCACTTACACTCTCACTTTCACACTCCACTGTCATCATACAAACACCTCTCTTTCTCACTTTCTCCACTTTTCCTCCCCAACAAAAATGTCACATATGTTCTTGCACTGTACATTCAAATGCAGATTAGTTGTTTCATACAGAACAACCAGACATTACTCTTTGTAACACACCCACAAAACCTCACCAATCAGATCCCACCCTCTTTGAGATGTACATGTGTGTGCTTCTGTTATTGACTCTGTTATGCATTCCTACCCAATGGAGAGTTAGAATACCATTTGGACCCATTTGCGAAGGCCCCACTCTGTTAACCCAGAGTACCGTCTGCCCCTCCTCTATCACGTGGCTTGTTTTCAACATAACTTGGCATTTCATCATGTGCTTCTTTCCTCGGAAGCCTCGCTCTGAACTTTGTGTAATCTTTAGGGCTGTTTTCATGGCTGAACATATAGGCCAAAACAAACTGAGAGGCCAACCATAGAGATAGACAGGAGGGAGGGGGAAGTCACAAGATGTCCCTCGGACCCAAATGGAAGTGGCGTTGACTTATTTGACCACCTGAGAAAATAAAGCCTGAGCCACTGAAGAACATAATATATTACTATTGACATAACCTTGTGAGTTTAGGATAAGAAAGTTTCACTATGTTTCTGTGACAGTGTACACTGTGTGGAATCTGAAATGATTCGGGTATCAAAACTGCCATGTCTAGGGCTCGTATCTTGAGCCCTCGTCATTTCGTTTGGCTCATTCAAAGGATCGAAATCATCAAAGCTTTCATTAAGCGTTGGGATATACTCCTAACCGTCTATCTCCGACTCAGCATGTCTGTAAATTGTGCCGGTGTCACGATCGTGTGCATGCCTGTGAATTCTAACATTCCCATCCATCCTGTTAAGCGAAAGGAATGTTGAAGTTACAGTTCAGATGAGACAGTTGTGTTTTATAGAGTAACAAATGTTGTTTTCAAGTGGTGGATAATGCGCATGTATTGTTCCTAAATAATCTACAAGAAAATATTGCTCTTCATGAAAGGGTTTCCCAAACTGTTGGTGAAAAGCTAATAGTTCAATCATAAAATGTACATTTTAAATAAATAATTGTAATATATATATATATATATATATATATATATATATATGTGTGTGTGTGTGTGTGTATGTCTGTATAGCATATATATATTTGCGTGACGTGACCAAACAGCATCAGAAAAACTGTGAACATGTGAGTGTGTTATGTTAATGAAATATTAACTTTAAATCTCAGGGAGTAGCCTACTTTAAGTAAATATTTTAGGTAAAAAAAAACACACAGGTGAAGGTCCCAACTTCATACATTATTATGAAACTGTAAGCTTGCATGTGTAAATGTAAAATGAATAAGAAACACATTGGCTTAATTTTCACGTTTAATTCAACGTGTTACTGTCATTACTTTGTAATTATTTGTGAAATTTAATAGCAATTTTTGAGTGTAAATTGTTTTGAAGTAAATACTACACAAAAATAATAAATAATAAATCAAATTAATATCTAATGGCTCATTCGGAATGAACATTCCACGTCATCATTATTAGCTATTGCTTTGATATTTCCTTCATAGAAAACCAGCTGTTTAAAAACTCACGCTTAGTCATTTGGGGGTTTTGACAGTCAATTTGTCTGTTGCAGAATATTGCATCAGGCAGAATGAATGCTAGTTCGACTAGTTGGACACAAGACGTACGATTTGGATTATGAACATTTGAGTCTTCATCATACTTTTTAATGTATTGTTATTACGGTACCAGTACCGATTTAAAAGGCTTTTAAACTTTTAGAGATAAAAAAGGAATAGACTAAAAGCACTGCAGCGCTTCTATTCACCTCAGGCTTTAATCACAACATTCACCAGCCCACGTGACTCTCTCTCTCTCGCTCTCTCTCGCTCTCTCTCTCAGTTGGTGTGGAGTGTGTGTGTGTGTGTGTGTGTGTGTGTGTGTGGTATGTGTTGACAGAGACGAGGGGGCTGGTCTAACTGAAAGGAGGTGGGTAGAAAGGGGCGTGAGATTATAAAACCGAGGATCGTCGTATGTC